CCGCCCACATTGAGCCTGGTTCTGCTAGAGGTTTCTTACAGTTAATGAGGGAGTTTTTCCCCTCCACAGTCGCCTGTGCTTGCTCATTGTGGGAACTGTTGGGTTTCTCTATATTAAATATGATTTTATGGTCTTGACCTTCTATGTAAATTGCCTTGAGGTAATGTATATTATGACTTGGCGCTATACAAATAAAATGTAATTGAATAACTAGTTATATTAAACAAAACTAAAAAGTAAATAAGCAAATAATAAATTGAAAAAACAGTAAATGGCTCCAACAACAATCTATACATCTTCATTATTATCTGTCCAGCACAATTTTGCCTTTTTGTGTAATGAAAATGAGGGTTGCAAGCAGGACTCTTACACTGTTATGTTCCTTTTAGTTGTAGGTGTTGGATATGGCACGAAAAAGCTCAGTACCATGTTAGCTGGTTCAAAGGTAAGTTTGTTTGCACTTGTGTTAAAGAGTAAATAGAATTATAAATAAATACAGTGACAAGAAAAACTGAAACTATTAGGATAACCTGGTTTCCTGTTTTGATTAATCATAAGATATGATCTTCTTTACACTCACAACTACAAACACAATGTGCTTAATCGACTAACACACAAACTATTTAACTTTTTAGTGTTTTTTATAGAAACTCACCGAAAAATGAAAATTCACTCTATCTACTCACCACGGTGCCGATGGAGGGGTGGGTATTATATATAAGAGTAGGCAGGCATAAGCAGCCACGCACTGGGAAGGAATCCCTAACATTCAAATTTGAAACGGCGTTATTTACACCATTTTCTTTAGCCTAAATGTCTGCTGATATCCTCCCCTGGAGCCACATTCTCGTTCGCATGTACACACTGCACACAAGCTCTCGCCCAAGTGTCTGCGCAGCGTGCACAGTAGCATCGCTAGTGGCTGAAATTTAGGCCGAAAACATGGCGTAAATGAAGCTGTTTGAATTTGAATGTCTATCACACACTTGGATGACACCACAGGAGCAATATGGATGCATTTTATGTTTTTTCTGTTTTTTTACATCTGAAGAAGTTTTTAAAACAATGAAAACAAAGGTGCTAAGCTAAAACAAATAGACAGCCACACAAAATTATAAAATATCGATAGATTAAACAAAAGGTTTAAAAGAAATGGGTATTAAATCCCTAAATTGTAACCAATTAGATAATAACCAGTGTCACTTTAACGAAACACAAACGACTGTTCTTTGAGTGGCGGTACCTAAATCCAAATGTTTCTGTTGGATTATAAAATTGTTCAGAAAGGGGAACGTTCCACTTATGTCCCAGGGAGTTACCACAGCTTACTCACTGCCCCTCCTCACTTGAACATCTGCGGCCACTGGGGAAGAGAAGGAAGCACCCTGAGCTGCAGACAATCACACTGAAGGCCCACTCGCACACGACCATTTCTTTGGTCACTATCCTGTACTTAGCTTATAGCAAGCATTGAACCAAGTCTTTCAGCCTCCGCGTCACGTCCGACTCTTTCAAGGATCTTAGTCCAGCCCTTTTTTCTACTTTGCCACCCAGTTTACAGTCCGCAAACTCCCACGGTAGAACAGCCTTAACCATCCATTTTCTTCTGCCCCCCTCGTGTCCATTTTCCCTGTGTTTTCTGTCGTCTTTCCTCCTGCCGTGCCTGTCCCAAACCAATCCTTAACAAGCACACAGTCCTGTGTCAACCAATCCTGAGCTGTGTGAGCTGTGTGAGGTGTGGTCCAGTCACAGCTGTTTCTTGATACTCTGATCCATAATCCAAATAAACATCCAATGTAAGTTCAGTCCATAGAGATTTGGCTTGTGAACCGGAGGGTGGCTGGTTCAAGTCTAGCATGGACTAAAAAGTATGGAAGGTGGACTGGTAGTTGGAGAGGTGCCAGTTCACCTCCTGGGTACTGCTGAGGTGCCCTTGAGCAAGGCACCGTACCGGCCAATTGCTCGCAGGGCGCTTCTCCAGGGCTAATAAAGGGCTCATAAAAATGAGTGTAAAAAAAAATTCCCCTTTGAGGATCAATAAAGTTTCTCTTCTTCTTCAAACGGAATTTTAACTTAAAACATGCAACTATTGGATCCAGTTAATTAAAACATAGCTTAAAAGAATATCTCACTTCCATAAATGTTCAAATGACAAATTTTCACCAATTTGGATAAGAACAGTACAATTATCTTTAATTAATTCAATCGATTTTTCGTGTATGACTCACAATTGTAACTTAGATAAAGAGCTGACAACATTAAAGACCAATTTATACATAAATGCAGAAATTTCCGAAAGGTTTGCTTAAGTTTCTTGCCCCTCTATATTAAAACAATATTTTGCTAGTAAAGAATCTTTGTTCTTGTCTCAAGATCATCTCTAGCAAACTAAAACAAAAAATACAAAACAGTAAGATTTGGGATTGGTTGGATGTGTGGGTGGACTCATTACAACAATGATTATTAGTTTTGATACATTCAAGGAAAGGGAATTGGAAACCCATAAATCACTAAATAGGCACTTTAACAATCTCCAAGATATATTATTGGTTCAATCAGTATTAACATTTCTCTGTACCGGCTGACTGATACTATTCATTGGATATCTGTGACAGCAGTGTTGACTAATAATATCAGCCCAGCTAGTTTGTAGATTAGGGCCTACACAAGACTACAAAGTGTATTTATCTTTCAGAAATATGTTGCTGTGGGGGAGCTGGGAAAAGCAACAGACACTCTTGATGCTACTGGTAAAGTGATTCTAGAGAAAGACTTTGGTAAGACATTGTGCACAAATCACATCACATCATCTGAATAGTTAAACTCTTCTGTTTGTATTCTATTACTGGAGCAGTTTGTGATTTATTTCCTCCTTTTTATTTATTTTTTTTTAAACAAAAGAACACATAACCAGGCAAGATTTTGAGGAGAAGCTGAAATCCTTCACTGGTGACATCATGCAAGTTCCTCCACTGTGAGTAAGGCCTCCAATCTGACTGAACGGTTTAAGTGTTTCACTTACAGATTATTTGTAGATAATATCCCATCCATCACATCAAAATCTGGTTTTGATGATCCTGTGGACTTTGGCATCTTCCCCACCATATTTCCTGTTTGCATACAAGATGGTGATTGTCATGGTAAATGGTCTGTATTTATATTGTGCTATTTAGACTTGATGACTCAAAGCGCAAGTACAGTTTTGCCGTTCACCGATTCTCACACGCATATTCATACAGTGCATCTATGTGCAGCACTTTCTCTATGTGAAGGGGCAATTTTGGGGTTCAGTATCTTGGATTTCATGCAGATTGGGGAAGACTGGGATTGAGCCTTTGGTTAGACAAGTTCACAGCAATGTAAAATGGCATTTGCTGAGCACACTGATAGGATGAACTTCAACTTTCTCCAGAAAAAGCCTTTGATTTCATAACCTGGGACCTTCTTTCAGATGATTAAAGGTGACAGATATGTTTTCTGAATATCTCTGGAGATATATTTTGTATAGTTGTTTGAGAGTCAAAACAAGACATTTGAACACTGAACTTCTGATGGACATAATTCACAATTTGCTGACATTTTATTACAAAAGATAATTGATAAATTAAAGAGACAGTGTGTAGAATTTTGTGATATCTAGTGGAGAAGTTTCAAGTTGCAGCTGAAACCCCCCTTACCTCACCCTCCCCTTCTAAACATGAAAGAGAACTTGTTGTAGCCTTCAGTTGTTTGTCCAGTCTGGACTAATGTAAAAAAACATGTCGGCCTCCATAGACAGAACCCCTTGATATAAATACAAAGAATTTCATATAAAGGGCCAATTTTTTTGGGTAAAGAAAACTACAATTGATACAATTTAGAAGAAACACACTAGTGACAACATCACTAGAATTATTTTATACAAAATTTTGCCAATAGATCCCTTTCACCTAAATATCATACACTGAACCTTTAACTAATATATATATTCAATTAATTATTCAAATCAAGATAACAATCAAATCAAAGATATGATTAATCAGCAAGCATCAAAAACTCATATTTACCAAAAAACTAGTCAATTGTTAGAGCAAATGATAGAGCAATTAGAAAAGTCAATTTATCCCTATGCACTATATAGAGGATGACTCGAAGCTTTTCACTATATAGGGGATAATGGTAATCAGTTATGGTTCAATGATAAAAGTAAAAAACATTTAAAACAACAAAAATCACCCTTTCATCATCCCTACCTGTTTTCCCCACCCACACCCCACCAAAAGAATAATCCAACCTGCAAGAGAATGGGATGCCGGTCAGCAGTGCGACATTTGCAGGTGTATCTACGTAACGTAATGTCCCAACCCAACCCTTTAATTGAAAATAATTGCTAGTTGCAGCCTGATTGACCTGTAGCTAACTGATGATGATGCTGAAGAAAAGATTTATTGATATTTGTCTCTTCAGCTACTCTGCTCTGAAGAAGGATGGCCAGCGTCTGTCTGTCCTGCTGAAAAAAGGTCAGAAGGTTGAGGCCAAACCTGCCAGACCAGTCACTGTGTACAACCTGACTCTGCAGGAGTTCAAGCCTCCTCTCTTCACTCTAGGTTAGCACATGATGTATCATGAAGTATCAAAGGCTTTCTTTAAACAGAATTTATGATGGAATTTCCTAATACTCCCATGTTCTTTTTAAGCACAAATACAGTTTGAAAATTGTGTCACATTTAATTATATTTCCATGACAGATGTTGAGTGTGGTGGTGGATTTTATGTCAGAAGCTTGGTGGATGACCTGGGGAAAGGTGAGATGAATTCATTATATTTCACAGTTTCCCCCTCAGTGTTTTTATGGAAAAATCAATACACTGTGTGCATGCTGCAGCTCTGTCATCCTGTGCTCATGTGAAGAATCTGGTGCGCACCAAGCAAGGTCAGTTCACCCTGGAGGAGCATGCCTTACACGAGGAGCAGTGGACACTGGAGCATGTCCTGCACTCTCTGCAGCCCTGTACACAGTTGGAGCAGGGTACTAAACCATCAGAGGAACACAATGTGAACAGGACCTAGGCTAACAATACGACATGACTCACTTGTTTGGCTTTTCGATGAATAAAACAGTTGATCCCAGTGTGGCTATTCCTCCTGGTTATTTCAGGTGTTTGTTACAATCATGAAAAACTGATACAATTGTTGAAACCTCTTTTTGGGGACTCTTGACCAGTGTCATTATTCTGGACTTTTGATTTTGATACCATGTATTTGTGGTTTCTATTTGTCTCCGTCTCACCTGCAGTTTCATTTTAATTTAATTTGTGAATAGTTCTGTATTTGAACTTTGTAAACACTCCAACCCCAGCTTCTATCTTCATTTGATCATAGCCCTCGTATTATAGTGTTAGGTAATAGAAACTCAAAGTGTATATATAGTATATGTATCACTTTTTAAAATCTTCCCACTGTTCTATGAAAATGAGAAGGAAAGGCTGTGTTAGGAAAAAGTGCTTGACAATACACATAGGAAATAGACTGGTATTATATATTAAACATAATTTGGACATGCATGACCCACTACTGGACCCATAATGAAAAGGTTTAAAGTATTACTTTATTTTTGAAGAAATTCTGTATAAAGAAAGAATATTTTGTGTGTAATACAGTTGTGAGAAATCTTTTAAAAAATCTTCAGTTTTGTTAGGATATAATGGCATTTCAGTTGTGGTATACTCACCAGCCACTTTATTAGGTACGTCTTGCTGGTTGGACCCTCCTTTGCTTTCAGAACTTCTTAGCATAGATTCAACAAGGTGTTGGAAACATTCCTAAGAGAGTTTGGTCCATAATGACATGATAGCATCACACAGTTGCTACAGATCCCCATATCCACCACATCCCAAAAGTGCTCTATTGGATTCAGATCTGATGACTGTGGAGGCCATTGGAGTACAGTGAACTCATTGTCATGTTCAAGAAACCAGTTTGAGATGATGTGAGCTTTGTGACATGGTGTATTATCCTCCTGGAAGTAGCCATCAGAAGATGAGTACACTGTGGTCATAAAGGGATGGACATGGTCAGCAACAATACTCAGGTAGGCTGTTGCGTATAAACAATGCTCAATTGGTACTAAGGGGCCCAAAGTGTGCCAAGAAAATATCCCCCACACCATTACACCACCACCAGCATGAAATGTTGATACAAGATGGATCTCTGCTTTCATGTTGTTTAGGCCAAATTCTGACCCTACCATCCGAATGTCGCAGCTGAAATCGAGATTCATCAGACCAGGCGATGTTTTTCCAATCTTCTATTGTCCAATTTTGGGGAGCCTGTGAATTGTAGCCTCAGTTTCCTGTTCTTAGCTGACAGGAGTGGCACCTGGTGTGGTCTTCTGCTGCTGTAGCCCATCTGCTTCAAGGTTTGACTTGTGCTTTCAGAGATGGTATTCTGCATACCTTGGTTGTAACAATTATTTGAGTTACTGCTGCCTTTCTATCATCTTGAACCACTCTTCCCATTCTCCTCTGACCTCTGACATCAACAAGGCATTTTTGTCCACACAATTGACACTCACTGGATATTTTCTCTTTTTCAGACCATTCTCTGTAAACCCTAGAGATGGTTGTGTGTGAAAATCCCAGTAGATCAGCAGTTTTTGAAATACTCAGACCAGCCCATCTGGCATCAACAACCATGCCACATTCAAAGTCACTTAAATCCCCTTTCTTCCCCATTCTGATGCTCGGTTTGAACTTCAGCAAGTCGTCTTCTCCATGTCTAGATGCCTAAATGCATTGAGTTGCTTCCATGTGATTGGCTGATTAGCTATTTGTGTTAACAAGCAATTGAACAGGTGTGCCTAATAAAGTGGCCGGTGAGTGAATATGCATGGTCTTGTTTTTGACCTAACATGCAATTCTTACGAAGCAGGAAAAATATATTAATCAGTTGATTTGCAGAAAAGGTCAAAACTGTGCTCTCTTTTCATGGAGATTTCACATCCAAGTGTTGTTGCATCAGCACTGTTATATGTCATATTTTCTGTTTTTTCAGATTGAATAAATATTCAAGTGAAACTATTGTCTGTGTTAAATACTATGTTGTCATTTTTTGCATTCCTTTATACAAACACAGCATAATCTTATAATGATAAGTGGTTTATGAGTGGGGTAATATGCATCTGCCATGTGATGTAATGTCATGAGGCTGCTATAGTCGACTGAAGGTGGTAATGGTGTCAGCTGGTAGAGACCATTCTCTCCAGGAGCTATTAATAAGAATTGTTTTTAACAAAGGTTTAATAATTTTTGGGAAATTTTGGTTTGGAAGTGATTCTAAACTGTATTTCTCTATTACAATTTTCTTTTCGAAGTCATAGTTCCAATATATGCTCTTCAGCATGTCAAAACATTTAACACTAAATAAATACCTAGATGCTTTGTATATGATTAGGAATCTTACATCAACTACAAAATAAATTAATCCAAAATTAAGACAATGTCAAAATCTTTATAATAACTGTTCTGTTCTCAGTGTGTGAAAGGTGAATGAATGTGTGCATGTTGTACTGCACAGCTCATTGAGTGGCCATTGAGGAAAGCACAATATAAATGCAAACCATTTACCATAGCAGGAAAGCAAAGTTTTAATATGTAACAATCACAACAGATGACATGATCTAATGGGTCACTAAATGGAACTGAGCCATTGATAATGTTATTAATTGCATCTGTGCGATGCTGTGTGGGTTTTTTAGCTTAGTCAATACACATACATGTGTGTTCATATACAGATATGTTCATCGCGATATATGTATGTGTACATAGGTGGGCAT